CTTTAGGTCCGAGAAATATTCAGCCACGGATGTCAGGGGAGTTGTCACAGGGATGGCTGGCTTGTGGCAGCCGAGCGTTTATAGCGTCGTTGCTTTGCCGAAACCAACATGGCCTGTCGAACCTTCAAGTCTAAGGAATCCTCGGCTAGAGGTGTCAGTACAGTTACCGCAGAGATAACTGGCTTGTGGCAGCCAAGGGTCAGAGCGGCGTTGCTTTGCTGAAAATTGCATCACACGAGTTTTCTGCTCTGACGTTTTCTCTTTGGCGGCTGATCTGTGCGAAAGTCGCGGTCAGGTGGAGAGTCTGGCCGGGGTGGCACATCTGTTGACCGATAACTCAGGTGTCCCGAGGCAAACTCAATGAGAACGGCGATCTCATGTGGACCGGCAGGGGGAAGGCTTGCTTGATTTTGATATTTGGTACCAATACATACCCATGCGGACCGAAGAAAGCTCGCTTGATTTTGATTCCCGGTACGAATATAAACCGTGCAAACATGGCCTGTCGATCCTTTAGGTCCGAGAAATTGCTTTGCCGAAACTTGATCCTCCGATGTCAGCTTTTTTTGTATCAGTGCAACACAGAACCAGCAGCCTGCTCTCGCTTGCTCCGTGCCTCGTCCCGTCCTTGGATGCTTATTCCATTATTTTTGACAATCTGAACATCAGAGGTCGCGATGGCCGCCCTCCCCGGAATGCCACTCTTCGCGTCCTCATCTCGATCTGCAGTGCGAGGGTCTTGTTGTCGTGACGTGTGCTTATCTCGCCAGGTACCCGGATTGGTGGAACATCGACGACACCAACGAGGCAGGGGAGCGACCATCACAGCCTGCGCATGCTTCGGCCGACAGGTACAGCTCCGAGAAGACAAGCTGCTCGATACCCTGCAACCAGGCCGGCTCCTTCGACGTGCGTTTTGGTCGACCAAAAACCACCACGACAGGAGACCGAGTTTACGCGGTCTACCTGAAGGTGGGCAGCAAGCGACTTTGCTCGATGAGCCTTGCTCGCTTCAGGGCTGGCCGACCACGAGCTGCGACGCCTTCGGAAATGCCATGCAACTCCTGATGGAGTATCGGGTGAGGCCGGACGCCGCCTGTTTCTTCTAAAGCAATTAATCGCATTGACAGGCAGATGGAGTGGATGGCTAACGACCTCGAGATCGACCCGCAAGAGCCTTACTGCACGTGTCTTCTAACATTATGCCCGGTGTCGAAGCAGGCACCAGCTCTCA